TTTTCTTGATTGGAGCCATCTTGTGCTCCAAGGTGAGAGTGTCTCTCCGCTCAGCAGCCGCCTTGCCTACACAAGACCTCAGAGGAAGGAAGGCTGTATTCCGGGGGGGGGGGGTCAGACTCACCTTCGCTGCAGTCATCTCCCAGGAACCCCGGGCAGCAGCGCCACTCCAGCGCCGTCACCAGCCGATACGCCACCCTGTAGGTGGGCCTGACGAGGGTCCTGTAACTGACGCAAAGGGCACCGTCAGCTCCAGGGCACAGCCAGTGTCAAGAGGCACGCCCGTCCTGCCCCCTCTTCTCAACACACTGCCCGTGTTACATCTCCAGTTACAGCACCGTTATTTCCAGGCAGAGCATTGCTTAGTTTTCTATCATTTCTGCCATAATTGTTTTATCATTGCACTCCCTGTTATCCATTCTGTATCCTGTTTTTAGTCATTTTTATTCAGTTAAGCTAATTTCAAAGGGAGCTGTCATCTACTCAGATTCTGAAACATACACAAATCTCAGGAGTCCCAGGAAGTGTGCAGGATAAGTGCATTAGCCATAAGGACAATTCAGGCCTGTGTTGTACTTTCATTTTTCCCCAAAAATGTTTCCAGAACTGCCCAGCTCAGCCTTCTAAAAACCACATCTTGCTAAATCTGCAAGCAGGTCAGTGTGACATTAAGGTAGAAAAAACAACAAATAATATGTAGAAAAGCAAATGAAAGAAGCGCAATTTAAAAATGAATTCAAACACAAGCTGGATTTCCGCAACATAACTGAAAGGTGGTATCTTCCATTACAAAGACATAGCACGTGTGAATGCAATCTGAAGACATTAAGTAATGTAGTGGGATACTATAAGACAAGGCTGTCCAGTACTGGAAGTCTTGGAGGGGCTCAACGTCTAGATCCCTTTAAAGAACTTGTCCCCAATGAGCTGGAAAGACAAAGCAACAAAACACCCAGAACAGCCATGATAACTATCTTTACTATCGCTGCAGTGTGACTCCATTTGGCAGGGACTCCGAGCAGTAATGAAGACTAGTCTAAACACTGCTTTAGCTTGCCTTAATATGGGCTTAATTATGCTGTCAAACCCGAGAGACATCCCGTTATCAGTGTGGTGGAGTGAAAGCCAGTTGATCTGCAGAGTGCTTTGAAGTCTGCTTGGTGCGGGCTTCGGGCATGATTTTCAATTGGCCGACACCACCACACCTATCCCGAAGGCCGAAAGTAAAGTAAAACGGGCACTGTTAATATTCATTAACGCTCATCTCTGTATCCGTGTGTTTTTTATCCGTGTGTTGGCTTTTGTTTTAATGTTTTAAAACATGTTTGTTTTCGGGGGGTTTTAATGCCAAGTCAAATAAAGGGATCCCACACAGACCTCAGGCAGAAGCACAAGGAGTGCAGGCGTCCTCTTCTGATGCAAGTACAGAACAACTACACTTCATGTGCAGCCTCTTCCATTCCATTTTTACTTTGTTCGAATGAAACAGTAATAGAAAATGGGACAGTGAGAGAAAATGCTTACTAATATCCTTCAGCACCGTAAGAAAAATAGCAATTCTGCACAACAGATGTAGAATGCACAGGCATTGTGCATCTCAGCACTGATCATCTCAGCCATGATTCGGAAGGGACAAGGAGCCCTGGGCTGACTGTGAAGTGGGGCGTGGGGGACGGGTGCTGTACCTCACGAGGTTGGGACAGGGCCTGGGCCAGCGACAGCTCTGGAACACCCTCTGCACCAGCGTCTCGGTGCCGTTGTGCACCTGGCAGGACACAGTCTTGGACACCGTGTACGGACACCAGTTCCTGCAGGGAGAAACCACAAGAGGGCACATTCTCTCAGATCTGCTCTCTCCTCACAGTGGCAGAGTCCCGACACCAGACCATGCCGATCTTTACCGCAAGAAATGAACCACGCTTATGCAAGCTTTAAGTTTCTTTTTTTTTTTCCTACTGGCATCAGGAATCTTTCAGACTTTAATCTAGTTGAATAAATCTGATCAAGCAGCTATTCAGGGGGCCCAAGCCCACAGCCGGGACATTCCTTCCAGGGGTAATTTGTAACATCTGCGTCCTTCTCCACCATTTAGCTTGTCTTGTTTGCCACAGAGCGCTGATCTCTGGGCTTGCTGCTGCTGATGACCATCGCCAGCAGAGGAACAGGGGGTGAGGGACTCCAGGGGAGGCTGGACCAGTGCAGCACAGGCTGTCAAAACTTACCTCATCCTTCTGGAACCTCACTTCTTACGAGAGGCATTCACAGTGAAGTCACCGTACAAAATCAGCACAGTAACTGAGAACCGAGAGGCACCCATAAGAAACCTGCGCAGTGTCAGGAGTCTTGAAAACTAATGGGCATGATGAGAAATAAAAAGGAGGCTGTTTAAAGAGCTGCAGTGCAAAACATTCCACGTTTCACGAGATGATAACTATAAAGAAAAGAGATCGAGTGTGGGACATTGTGCATGGACCCTCGAGAGGCTACGTGGTGTCCTGTGTCGCTGGCGTGGCGCTGCTGGGCATCGTGTCCAACCTCTGTCTTTAGCTGTGTGCAGGGCGGCGCACGTGCACGGCTCTCGTTCGTCTTCACCGCAGGGCTCACAGGCACCCCGTCAACAGCTGCGTTCAGTTACCCCCCACAGCGTGAGCAGTGGGGAGAAGGAGCCCTGTGCTCAGTTCCAGACAGGGCGTGCAGGCACGGTCTCTTTCATAAGTAGATGCCTTTTTTTTCCCCCAGAGAGCCCTAATCCCATTTTCACTTCAAGCTGGATCGGCTTTCCCTGCACAAACGACCCAAGCCTCCAGAGATGCAAAAGCAATTCCATCTGCCACCGAACGCACTAAAACAGGACACCGACTTCCAGTTTTAAGAGTGGATTGTGCTTCAAGTGTGGAAGTAACATACAGTACAGTAGACATAGTGCTTTCCTCAGCCATTCCTTATACTGCAATAATTTTTAAAACACAGAAGATAGATGTCCATAGCACCCAGCTAAAAGAGACCTAAAAGTCTTTTGTGTGGCTGTTGGGGGTGACATCTCTTGTGATCTGTCGGAGAGACTCCTTCCTCCAACTATTTAGCGCAGGAGGTGCCAGCTGCCAACATTTCTCCTGCAGCTGTGATGTCTCAGTAACATCAGACGCTTGGCACCCCAGAGATCCCACTGCTGCAGTTGCCATCACAGGACAGCTGCTGGCGTGCCGAGCGCTCACCTGCGAGGGGTGAGGGAACCCAGGTCTTAGCAGCCACCCAAGGCTTGAGCCTGTGTTTGTGGGGTCCAGATAAAAGGCTGAGCTCTTTTTGAGAGCACTTTTTCATTCAAATCCATAGAGGAGCTCAAGTGACAACTACAGACCACAAGAACGGTTACAAATGAGAGAAAGCTATTAAGCCCATCTTACTCATTTAATTTGCAGTAACATATCGCTCAAAGGATCTCATCAAGTAGTTTCTTAAAGAATTCCAGGGATTCAGCCTCAACACCTTGGTTTTCCAAAGGGAAAAGGGCTGACTTACCAGAGTATATCACGGAAAACTTTAGAATTGTTGGTCTAGAAACAACCTGACAGACTATAGCACAATTAAACTGAGAAAATGCCCGAGGATAAAAAACAGACTTCTCAAAAAACGACACGTTGAATCATTTTACAACGAGGCCAACTTCGTAGTTAACGTCAAAGGGACATGAAAAGCACTACCATATTTCACCATGACATTGTCAGGGGATAGAAGCTTTTCTAAAAGCCAACTGCAACAGCACGTCGTGTTATTACGCAGAAAACCCACATTTAATTCGACCACACTGGCGGGGGGTTGCCGGCAGCTCCGATCTTCTGACGCAGTCTGTGAGTGTGCAAGAGACCGCAAACGAGAGGAGCGGTTCAGTCGTTCACACTTCTGCTTCATGAAGACGGGCAGATGAGTTTTTTTTGTTGGGTTTTTTTGAGCAGGTGATGGGAATGGAGGACTTTCGGAGCAGACCCAGCGCCTCAGCCTCACGTTTCGTGTTAATCCCTGCCGGGGTTGGTGTTTGACAGAAACCCTGGTTACACGAGCAAGAGTGAACGCCACACAAAAATACACAAACTCCCTTTTTTAAACGTTTAGGAAAACGGAGTTTAAATGTAGTCTAATCTGGGTTTGGGAAAAATAAAACCTCATTAGACTTGAACGTGGTAAAACTAATTTTCGCCTTTCTTTATTCGGTTTACTCCGCTCGTATGAACACCTCAGCGTCTCGTCAGGAAAAAAAAGAAGTTATTTCCGTTTTGAATTAAGCACTTAATTCCCCAACGTTTGATTGAGAAACGTGACAGAAATGTACCGGCGCTTACTGAAGAGAGAAGGGAAGGTTTCGCTGCGTTTTTCCGAGAAAACCGTCGGTACAAAACCGTCGTTTTTTGTACTGGTACCTCAGAAAACGCACTTTCTGCTGTTTCGCTTCACTTTCAGAGTTTATTTGACTACTTCTAACTTCATGCTCCCGTTTGTCTCTCATTTCCCCGTGGTCGCAGGCTGGGCACCTGAATCCCAATTCTCACAGAAGAGTGCGTTATACTACCAAGTCGTTTGAAAACTGCAAATTCGGGGTTTAATTCGCCACGGGAGCAGCGCTAAAGCTGAAATGGTTACATGGGCTCTCTCGGCTCACAGTAACACTCACAGCGGGACTGGGAGCCCTGCTTACCTGCGATGTGCTCTGGCGCTCGCCGGCGGTCCCGCCTCCTGCTCCGCGCCGAGGTGCGTGATGGACACCGCTGGAAACTGGTACACAAACCCGCTGCTGTTAGCGACGCAAACCAGCAGACTGCCCAACAGCAGCGAATACAGGACCGCTGCCATCCTGTCCGTGCCCCCTGGTCGCTGTCCTCCTGGTCGAGGGGCAGTCGCGGCGCTGGGATGAGCGGAACGTGTTGCCAATTCGCACAGCTGCGGAGGACGGGACTGGACACGATCCCGTGTAATTACATGAGCGAGCGTAAAGATGTTGCCGTCGATTAACTGCGAGGCATCAATGCGCTGTGAGACAGCCCGGCTCACGGGTTAGGCATTTTTCTAATGGAAAAATAAGCCTGCGGTTTCGCTTTCTCCCTCTCCCTCTTTGTCTAATCCTGTGTGTCAGAGAGGCTCTTGGTTCCCCAGTCTTTTAGGAGGGATTTAAATGTCTCAAGTGTCTGGCGGCGTGCGCTACAACGCGCTGGAGTTTGGAGAAGCTGCAGTAAGCGGCTGTTTCAAGGGCCAGTTCGAGACGGAGGGGAGCAGCAGACGACGGAAATTAACTGATTTGTAGTCTTTCGAGTTTAAAAAAAAAACACATATCCACTTCTACGTGCCTGTTTAACGTTATTATTTTAAATCTAAAGTGCTCGTCGACGAAACTCAACCAGGCGCAGTTGCGGATATAGGGTCCGGAAAGCTTCGAAGTTTGCAGCGAGATTAAATCGCTGAAGGATTTATTCGAAATCAAAACCTTTCAGGTTATCGCGGAACGGCATTCTAATTCCCTCGTCCTTAGTCTTGGCTGCCCGTGCTGCAGTTTGGGGGAAATATTTTGTCTGTAAATCTCTGTACTGTGTCACAACTGTGAACATCTAGATGAACGAAGAATTTAAAAAAGGACAGGATATTGTTTTTATATTTTCCGTCGCACACTCTTGGCTAAATGGAAATCTGATCATTAATTAGTGACTTATCGGTGTGCATTTTTCCCCAGTAACCATCAGAAGCAAAAGTACATGTAGTTACAAAAGTCATTTTCCTTAATATCGGAGTCACCAATTATATCACTATGCTGTTTTATAAATAAAAGTTCCTGTCCACAATGATTTAACAGATTTTCTTTTTAAGAACTTTTAAACAATCTGTACTCCATGCATATTTTAAAAAAACATTTACTGATGGATAAATTAATGGATTGAAATTAGTGCAATTTAATAGCTATATGGCAATTCTGTATGACACTGTAGAATAAAAGGGTTCATTTTCTAACCACTTCTCCCACTACAGGGTGAAAGAGGAGCTGGAGTCTCTCCTGGTGCGAGGCAGGGTCCACTCTGAAGGGGACACTAGTGCATTTCAGTGCACAGACTCACACGAGGGCCATTTTTCCCCAATTAATCTACCAGTATGTCTTTGGACAGAGAGCAAACTGAAGCATCCTGGGGAAACCCACACAAACATGGGGAGAACATACAAACTCCACACAGACAGCACCCCAGGAATTGAACCCCCCACCAGCAGCAGACCCAGAGGGCCAGAGAGAGTCAGGCCTCAATCATTACTGAGGGAAGAATCAAGGACTTCATGATTGAGAAACTACTGAATACTGTGCTTTGACCGAGTCCCAGAGCGTCTGTCGTGTAATGGCACCATGTCACCAGCAGAGAGCAGGCGTGCTTTATTTGTTCAGTGCCTTTTCCTCAGCGATATCCACTTCACATCGTTTCATAGGTAGCTTTCAATCTTCTGTGAGGAAGGAATTGGAATACAGACCAATTAAATTAACAATTGATTTCAATAAAGTCATTAAGAGTCCAGAGAGAAATGAAAACCAGAACACATGGCTATAGTCCAGGAGACAGATGAAGATGGATTAGGAAAATACATTTTGTAAAATGGTAGAGGAAACAATTTAAGACCATAATATTAGGGTATTTCTTAGCCCTGTTTCTGGATTACAATATACATTACAAATTACAATGGCATACTAACATCAGGTAAAGCAGTCTTTTTCCAGAAAGTGTGATAAATGACAGTAGGTATAGTTAGGAGATACGAGACGTTCCTGGTGCTCATTGAACGTAATTCTCCGAGGTCGGTAAAAAACAAACGGGCTGCAGATAACAGTTTAGCCACACGAGGGCAGCACTTCGCAGGAGATCGGCGCTGTTATACCTGTGAAAGATTTTCCTTTGGAGATCAAATCTGCCCAGTCTTCTTCCCTTTAACATTATTATACATCTCTATATTTATATTTTCCGTGAATCAGAATGTCATCGCATTCTGGGGTAGGGTTGAGGAACCGCCTCTCCAGCCGAAATAAGGAAGGCATTGAGGAAATCCGGTCTGTACAAGTGAGTTTAACCATCTTTAACGATCTCCGAGTCTGGACCTTGAGCGAAGTCTCCCCAAGAGCGGCAGGACCGAGTTCCTGGTCATCATACCTTTGCATTGCTTCGGAAATACAGCTCCAAGGGAAATGGTGCCCCCTGCTGGTCCATCACATCAGGGAATTGGTGTGGACTTCAACACTGATCACCACCCTAAAGGTTTCCTCAGCTGCACGGTGCTAAATCCTGGCAAAAGCGCTGAATTACATCGGCACAGGCCTTGTAATGTACTCAGTTGGTTATCCCGACTCACGGTACTGAACTGATAGAACTTGTCCGACAATACTTCCACTGAGCGTCTGCATGCCTCAGCCCAGTTTGATGGACGCCGCGCCTGCCTGCAGTTACACCGGTCTTCCAGGAGAGGTCGCCAAGCAGATGGCCAATGGGTGTCATTGCTGCAGCAGACCGTCTGTGATGGGGAATTCTCATGCGGGTTTGAGGACCGAGAACATATGGGGATCATCAAAAAGGTACAGAAAAGAGAAAAGGGTCCCGTCTCACAAAAGGGCTGAAATAATCTCTGGTTGGTTTATTCATCACTGTCATCAGAACACGATCGAATGGAGATGATGAGGTTCTGGAAAAACTCAGGATTAAAAAACTCAGTGCGCTTATCCTGCAGTGCCTGAACATTTATCAAACTTTATAAAGTCATACGTAATATTATTCAAGGCAAATCTTTTATAAGTTATATATATATACAGTATATGAAATTAAACATTGGTTTGCATTACTTGTATTTGCTTATTGCCTCAAGACTCAGTACTTTTCAAAAAGGTTCATTTTTAAATGCACTTGTTTTAAGTTGTTTAAATGCAAATGTTTAAAGATTGACTTAAGACAGAGTTATGTTAATGCACGGATCAAATAGCATTGAGCCAGTTTGTAACACATCATTTTTCGTGTATGGTTTATGTGAAAAAACACTGACGTGTCTTCACTCCTGTGTATCAGCAGCATGTCTGGAAACGCAGCCTGTCGTGACTCAGTCCCAGCCGCTCCTGTCAGTGACCTGAAGCCTCTGGCCGTGGGCTGGGTGACAATGTCAGAATCCACCCATATTCTAACTGCATCTTCCCAGGCTGGATCACTGGGGAGCTGGAGTCTATCCCAGCAAGCAATGAGCACATCCAGGGTGAATCCTGGACAGGACACCAGTCCATTGCAGGGCACACACAGACACACACACCAGGGCCCATTACCCTACCAGCCTGTCTGTAGACTGTGGGAGGAAACCCATATGAACACAGGAAGAACATACAAACTCCGCGCAGACAGCAGCTCAGGAATTGGACCCAGGGCCCCAGCGCTGCAGGGCAGCAAAGCTGACCAGCGCGCGGCCCACCGGAGACGAGTAAGACGGGGTTGTGAAGGTTGCACATGTCCCCTGCTGGCGTTGGCGCCCCCTGCTGCTCAGTGAACAGAGTTGGCGTCCGTGCCGTGGGCCCGCTGGCAGCCGGTCCACTCCAGCTCCGGGGCCCACCGGCCACGGCTGACCACCCGCACCCGGCCCGGGTCGAACCTCCAGAACAGCTCGTCCTTGAAGAAGTACAGCCCATCGGGCCGCCCCACCGCCCCGTTGGCGCCCTGGGGCAGCCCCTTCCAGTCGGCCAGGCCGCGGGGGTAGTAGGGCTCGGGCGTCAGGCTCCTGAGGTTCAGCACGAAGTAGCGGGGGCCCTTGACCAGCACCATGTTGCCCAGTGGAGGGTAGTAGAAGGCGTAGTCGGGGTGCCGCGGGAGGCCGGCGGCGCTGCTCCTCCTGGGGAACCCGGGGTCCAGCCTGCTGCCCGAGAAGCGCCAGAAGCGCCCGCCTGCGGGGGGGAGAAACGGGTCAGCCGGCTGACCTGGGCGCCGCGTCACGGAGAGCAGAGCCGCGAGGAGCGGTGACCGCCTGACCGCACCCGGCTGATCCCAGAAGCTCATCCAGCCGGGACCTGGAAGGAGCCAGGGTATCGGCATCACCAGCCCGGCTGGCCGCCTCGTCCCACTCCCCCACCGCCCTTTGGCTAAAGAAGTGCCTGCCGGGCTCGATTTCACACGCACTCCCCAGGGGTGTCCACGTGTGCCCTGTGGTTTGCGTTTCACGCAGGAGTACCGGGAGCAAACCAGGCCGGCGAGCGAATTTCCCTGTCCAATCTCCGGCTGCACGTTATTCCCAGGTCTCCAAGGAAGGCAGCACCAGGATGGCAAGGGGCTGAATCTACGGCTACGGACAAGCAGGACCAATTCAAAGCTCCCTAGAGCCCCATCCCATGTCAAGACGGTGAGCAGAAACGCTGTTGCCGTGATTCTCGATGTGCTTCTGGCTCTGCTCAGCCGCGCGGGAGCCGTGTGCTGTGAAGCTGCAGGGGGACGCGGGCCGGGTCCCTACCTCTGAAGAAGTAGAACTTGCCCTCCGGCGGCGACACGGCGGCGGCCTCCACGCTGGCAGGAAGCTGGGGCCAGCGGCGCTGGAGGGGCAGGGCGGCGCTGGCGCGGCCCTGCGCCGACACCGTCCAGAACCGCGCGCCCCGGAACACGTACACCGTGCGGTTCTGGTCTGGCAGCACCGGCGCAGAGGAAAGAAAAGCTCATTACTTTCATCTCTTCAGCTGAAGCTGGACTGGCTTCACGCTGAGAGCCCGGGTGTCAGTCCTTGTGACTATATCAGCACATTTAAATGCCTGGAGGAGGACTGATGAGCTCTGTTAGAAAGATCGACAGATCGCCATGGAGGAATTCTCCCACAGCACACAAGCCACACTTCAGAACAGCCTTGGCTACAGAAGACCATCCTCTTCCATCCTGGATGTGTTTTTCCATCCCGTGCATGAATATCGTTTTGTGACTTATTGGTTTGCGTGTTTCCTAGGAACCATCTGAATTAAAAGTACGTACAGTTACAAAAGTCATTTTCCTGAATACCTGAGTCACCCATTATGTCATCATCCTGCTTTATAAATAAAGGTTCCTGTCCACACCGATTCAACTGGTGTTCTTATGAAGGACTTTACACAACTTGTTCTTAATGCATGATCTTTTAAAGGTTAAGTGGCTTTGGGGGGAGTTATCTGTGATGTGTGTCTGTGTCTGCCCTGGCGTCTGATCCAGGGTGAATCCTGCCTTGTGCCCGCTGCTTGCTGGAATAGATTCTGGCTCCCCCATGAGCCTCAATTGGATAAATCAGTTACAAAATGGATGGCTGTACAAAAAATAAGGACACAAGTAATGACAATCGGGAGCAGACAGGGAGTGTGGAGTACAGAATGGACTGAAGGAGGGTTTTCCTTACCCATGGTAATGGCATCGAAGAAGGTCTGGCAGTATGGGGGCAGGGCAGGGCCAGGGCCCTGAGTGCCCTCGGTGGACTCCCAGTCCTGCAGGAAGGAGCTGTATACCTGTCCAGGGAGCTGGACGGCCAGCCCGCTGGGCGGCTTCCCTGGAGCACACAGGAGAGAAAGGACAGCAGGTAGTACCGCACCTCGGTTTGAAAGAGACGCCAATACCCTCATAAAGCAAAGATACAGCATCCCTCATGCAGAGAATAAATTACATGATTCCTCTCTATTAATTAATTAAGCGCTTAATTCAACTGGAAATCGGACTCATTAGAACACGAACTCTGTTGAGCTCCTAAACTATTGGAGATTACCAATGGATGCTTAAATTACACCCGAGATGAAATCTAAAATGTAGCAGTTGTGGGTAGTGAAAATGTTCTGAAGGATTAAGTTCTTCATCTAATTTAAAGGTTGAGCTAAGCAAAAGCTAAGCAGGATCAAAGACACCAGGGCACCAGGGCCCAGACTGGCAGCTCCAGACGCAGGTCCGAGTCACCAGGCAGCACCACGGTGAAGCAGCTGCTACATCTCGGCCTGAGATAAAACTCCAGCTCATTAAACACCTGAGCCTCAGTTCACTGGGGACCGCTTTCCTTTGGAAAAGCATCATGGAAACAAGGTAAGAGCAACAGTTAAACACATCAGCCACTCTGACTTGGTTTTGCAATTCTCACAACATAACAAAGAAACCAGAGAACTCTCCAGATGTTTTTACTAAAACCCCCAAATATTTATCTTGCTCTCGGTGGAGTGGTCTGGCATATAGCCCCATACCAATCCATCCGAATCGCTCCGACAGACAATGGAGAACGTGAGAAAAAGACTAACTTTTGCATAAAACCAGAGACAGAACCGATTAACAGAGTGAGTAACAGGGAATATTTCACAGTAAAGGCCTATGTCATTACCAGTTATCCTCGGCAATATTGTCTGATTATGTAAGTACGTATGTATGCTCTGCTATGGGGTGATTTCACACAGAGAATATTTAAACATTTAGCAGAGCAGGTTGCAAAATATTTGTGATAAGTGGTGGATTGTACTCTCCCTTTTATTTGCAAAGGCTGTATGAAGGCTTGTCTGCTATGCAACACAACCCAATTCACAGCAGAACAGAGAAGTCTGGAGAAGGGGGCATCAAGGTGGTGCAGTGGTCAGTAGCGCACTAGGGAGCCTCTGGGTGCTCCAGTTTCCTCCCACAGCCATGGAGGTTAATTGGCTTCTGGGGAAACTGTCCCTGCTGTGAGTGGGTGTCAGCCCCCAGCTCCGGCTGGGCCGCCGTGTGAACATTAACAACAGCGGGGTTTCAGCCATAAGTTATTCGACCACTTTACGCTGGCAGGCATCCCAAGGGAGGGAGGGATCGTCTCTCCTGGAGAACAGGAGGAAGGGCACCGTGAGAAAACCGGACTAGTCCAGCTGCTCCTCGAGGTTCTTCGTGAAACACCACAGCATCGCGTTCCACACGCTGGCTTCCACACAGCACAGTGAAGCTCAGCCCTGTCACTCATCGAGGAACTGAGGGGCGTGCTCGCCCCTGGGGGGTGTGGGGGGGGCACATTGCACATTGCCAGCTGCCCCCGGTAAAAAGTGAAATCTGTGTGAAACAGCAGTCCGTGTGGGAGGCGGGTCAGGAATCTCGTTAACAAGTCTCCCTGTGACGGGCTCCTCTAAGGACGGCACCGCACTGTGAGACTCACGACACCGGCAGGCTGCAAGAACCGAACCGTTTTAGTCTCGTTTACAAGGGGACCTGAAAAAACAATCCTTAAGAGTCACTGCCAAGGTCACCCCAGCTTCTGAATAAACAGTTAAAGAGGCAAACCAGAGGACACAAGTGGAGACTAAGTGGAAATGAGTTTAAAACAACCCAGGGGTCCCTTCTCACCCAAAGGATTGTGGGGAAATGGGACAAGGCACCCAGCCATGCTGTTGAAGCCAATATCCTGGCTTCTTTCAGGGAACGGCTGGGTGAGATCAGATCAGTCAGCTACTTCATACCAAACAGATTAAATGAGCTGAATGGCCTCTTCTCGTGTATAAAAGTTCTCTTGTTGTGAAAGTGAAATGCACACCACAACTGCAGGTACAAAGGCTGAAAGCAGAGTCTGAAGAAGGGGTGAGAACTTTTTTTACAGAGTTTTATAGAGTTTAAAGCTGCAATAAGAATGAAACCAGGTGCAAGGCTCCAGAAGTCCCTACCAGTGCATTAAGTGCTGAAACAAATTGTGATAAAGGACATCTATACAGTTTATAGATCTATAGAATAAAGTTGTGTACCTTGCGGACTGGAAGCCCAATGTCCTAAACCTGTTAAATCCCCTGGAATTGTTGAATTAACAGAGCACTAGTCAGCAAAATTCAATTCATCCTTTGCTCATATTGTTAGTCTTTATTCAGTACATCGAGAGATAAAAAAAGATGACGCTCTTTGCTGGACAATCATGGTGAAAGCGTCTGGCAGAGAGGCTTGCTTGATGTACTGTACATTATGGCTGCTCAAGGTCTTCTGAAATACAACCATTACTGCATGAGCACCAGTGAATGAGTCAGGGCTGCACAAGCAATTCAGGGAAAGTCCTAAGTCCCAACACCTTCCTTTTCCACCTGTTCCCATGTGATCCTGTTCCCAGGGGTGACATACCATAGAGCCGCTGCACCGCAGCGATGTCGTCCCAGCTCAGGACGAAGGCCCTGCCCAGCTTCTTGTAGTAGGGCGACATGAGCGCGTTCCTGACGGGGGAGTGCTCCAGCCCCAGCGTGTGCCCGATCTCGTGCGCCGTCACCACGAACAGGTTGTGCCCCTTGTGCCCGTTCAGGGTCCAGCGCTCGGCCATGTCGAAGTGAGCCTCGCCGCGGCAGGGGAAGAAGGCATGGGCCAGAGCTCCCCCTGCAGGAGAGAGGCGGAATGACAAGAGGCTTGGTGAGCAGAGCTGTCAGGTGATCCCCGTCAAGTCACGGTCAGCTGTCACTACGCAACCTACAATCCAGTGCCATCCTAGTCGTCCATTCCCAATGAATTGGATAGACTTTTGCAGTAAGATCTATTTTACACCTGCTTTATGCATCGGTATTCCCAAGTGCCCAGGTGAAAAAATACATGGATAGAATAAATTATGAAATTCAAAGATGGATCCCGAGCAGCAACACCTGCTCAGAGCACAGTTTGATTGCCATCATCCAGAAGCTGGACGCTGGAGTCGGGGTCACGTCACCAGCCAGCTGTGACTGGGGCTCCAGTCTGTGCCAGTTCTCCTGTAAGGGTCTGTGCAACGGAATACTGAAAATTGTGTGGGTATAGAAACAAGTAGCAATTTCAAACTTAGGGAGAAAAGACATGACATGACAGGAGCCAAACAACGAAACAATTTAAACCGGATCAGTGCAGAGGATTCCCAGGGGGCCGAAGTCCGTACCTGGGCCATCGAAGGCGTTCCCCGTGCCATCGTTGTGCTCGCCTTCGTAGAATGCCAGGCGGATGTCGGCGGGCCCGTGGGTGAGCTCCCGGAAAGCCAGGGCGGAGGCGTTGCTCCACAGCTGGAAAGCGGCTCGGACCGCCAGCCGGACCTGCCCCGGAGAGAGGTGCCGGGGCCAGTTCACGAGGCGGTAGGTCAGCTGCCGCTTAGACCACTTCTCCCCTGTGGGCAGAGAGACGCCTGGCAGAGCTCAGCACCTCCACACCTCACAGGCCTGCCACA